GTTGTGTCGATGACTTGTAAGCACCCACTGAACAGCTTCTGGTTTAAACAAATTATCAAAGTGGAACAGCCAAAGCTTAACAAGGACATCTTTCTAAGCCCATATATCAAAGCTAATGCACCAAATGGGCACCATACTTTCCTGCCCCTGACATTTGTGAAGTGGTTTAGACATAGATCTTCACAAAATAATCCATTTTGTCTCATCAGCTAAACTTTTCAGGGCAATTTAAATTCTGTCCATAAGTTGGCCTATAAGTTTTGACATCCAAATAAGATGCATTACATTCCCAAAAGTATTGGGTCAGTTGCCTTCACACACATCGAGTTTAAAGATATTTTGCTCTTGATACAAAGGCTTTAATATGGTTTGTAGCTACAGTAGTCTTTGGTGTATTTCTCAATTCAAATCATACAAAGAAGACCTTCCTCTTGGTCAAATCATCAACCATCATGGTTCTTCCTTTTACTGCTGTGGCAATGACACACAGCTTCATGTAAATGCCACAGCTGCAATCCTGCCTTCTTCACCACCAGTATAGAATTCAGAGAAAAAATGTGTGTCTTTTGAGGCAATGACATGCATTGAGGGAAATTTTGAGCATGTGTTTCTCACAAAAGGAGGGATGTGGTCAGATGAGATTCTGTCTCTAACCACCACTTATTGGGGCAGTGAACAGGGTGCGTCTTTCAACTGTTCAACTTTTGGAACTAGAGTGACTCCCAGTGGACAGGTTTGTGTACTACAGCTCCTAAAGACATGCAGCAACTCAGCAAAGAGTTGCTTGAAAGACACATTTACCATAAACCAAGTAAAAGAAGGAATGAATAACTTTATTTAAAACAGTCACTCAAACCAGGTTAAATGCAACAATTTGGTAGAATAAACAAAAATAGAGCCCAAAATTCAAAACAGATTGTATCAAAGGGTTCACAAAGACCACATGTGTCTACAGTTCGACAGGAAGTTAAAAAAGGTATGCTGCTGAAGGTCGTCTTTTAGATGCATTTGGCAGAGATTTGGAACCGATCTTCTTGGAGAAGTTAGGGGTCTTCTTAGCACTCTTTGACGTCTTCTTGGAGCCAGTGGACACTGTGGTGGGGGGAGACTTTAGGACCCCAAACTTTGGTTTTTGCTGCGGGTCAAAGGGCACCCGAGACAAACCTTCTGGACTTAGGAGTAAGCTGCGATCAGTCTTCTTGAACTCTAAAAGACAAAAAACAAAACTAACAGTAAAGAAAAACATCCTGTGACTTTCACATTTCAGCTCAATTTCAACTTAGACTACAAGATTCCCACTGCCCAGCAAAATTAATCTACAGACTAAGCAGGAAAATGTCAATGAGCTCAACTTGATGCTATACTCTTCAACTGCATGCAATTCAAAGGTTCACAAAATTAAAGAAAAGACTAAAATAACACTTAATTCTTAATTAAATATTCTCACTGAAAAACTTTATTATTAAGTTAACAAGGTGGAATTAATTAAGAAAATAATTGTCAATGTTAATCAAAATTATTGCACCATAGAGATCTGGATTTGGATTCATAGTCAATATGATGGGAAATTAACATGGCAGGTTGATTCAACAGCAAGTTTACAAGAGGGTCAATATTGTGCGCCTCCATGTGTCTGTATAACTTCCCAATGATGCCTGGGCAAGTTCTTGATGAGATGGAGGATGTTCTCCTGAGGGATTTCTTCCCAGACCTGGATTAGATCATCAGTAAGCTCCTGAACTAACTGATGATGTAACATCAATGTCATCATCACACTGCTGACACACTTCAGCCACATGAGGCACCCAGGGACCTCTGCACAATGTGTCTGAGGATTTCATCCCGGTACCTTATAGCAGTGACTTTCAATCACTGTGCCGTGGCATACTAGTCTGCCACGAGAGATTATCAAGTGTATTGTGGGAAATTACCCAATTCCACGTAATTATTTCTTAAAATAAAGTCTTGGTCAGTTACTATTGCTGAGTGTCTTTTGTAAGACAGACGGGCAGAGTAATATGATACTCTTTCATGCCAGTGGGTAGCTAATTGCTGTGTTTCTTACTATAAAACAAACAATGGAGTACGTTTTGAAAAGAAAAAGTGTTAACTCCGAACTTGGCCCAGGGCAAAGTTGTTGAATACAGGGGTTGGGGAAGAGTACATTGAAGCAACAAACTCTATAAATGGCTTCCATTTAGTGTAAAATTTGTTCAAGCTTCCAGGTTTTGCATATCTAATTTTTTTCCTTTTCAAAAAGGACATAACCTCATTTATCTACTTAGTGCTAGATGGAGCACAACATGAGCGACTCCAATGACATCATATTAGACCGCACATATGTAAAACCGAAATAATTAAAATGTACATTACAGTGGTGATAAACTAAATTTAAACAGAAAGGACAAGAACAGAAAAATTATCTGCTGGATAACTCTTTCATAGAGGTTGTCTTGCTAATTGCCCCTCATTTCCACCATACAAATGAAATGCATGTTTCATTTGCACAGCAACAGATGTGACTGATATGGAATAATATTGTTTTGTTTAGGTGTTCCCTATATTTTTTTGGAGCAGGGTACAAAACAAAACCTGTAATGGAGAATTTAGGACCGGCCTGTTGCATAGCAGACATTTTAACTAAACAAGCAGTAAAAACACACGTGGGTCTTGAGTCAAAAAAGGGTAAAGTGCCTTCTCTGGGTCGAGGGAGATGTCCTGCCCTTAGTGGAGGAGTTCAAGTATCTTGGGATCTTGTTCACAAATGAGGGAAGAACAGGTGGATTGGTGCAGCGTCCGCCGTGAAGCTGTACCGGTCCGTCGTGGTGAAGAGAGAGCTAAGTCAAAAAGCGAAGCTCTCGATTTACCGGTCGACCTAAGTTCCCACCCTCATCTTTGGTCATGAGCTTTGGGTAATGACCGAAAGAACGAGATCGCGGATACAAGCGGCCGAAATGGGTTTCATCCGTAGGGTGGCTGGGCTCTCCCTTAGAGATAGGGTGAGAAGCTCGGTCATCCGGGAGGGACTCAGAGTAGAGCCGCTGCTCCTCCACATCGAGAGGAGCCAGTTGAGGTGGCTCGGGCATCTGGTTAGGATGCCTCCTGGACGCCTCCCTGGTGAGGTGTTTCGGGCACGTCCCACTAGGACGAGGCCCCAGGGAAGACCCAGGACACGCTGGAGGGACTATGTCTCTCGGCTGGCCTGGGAACACCTTGGGATTCCCCCGGAGGAAGTGGCTGGGGAGAGAAAAGTCTGGGCCTCCCTTCTTAAGCTGCTACCCCCGCGACCCGACCCCGGATAAGCGGCAGAAGATGAATGGATGGGACTCGCTCTAATTTGTAAAGTCTCCAAAATATTAAATTTTTAATCAACTTCACAACAAGTGCTGTAAATTGACAAAAGTAACACAATATATGCCTAATACTTTTATATTCCAGAAAAATTCCCATCCCAGATAAATCCAATTTATACCAATACAAGCCAGTCATAGATTATATTTTATGACAGACAAATCACTCTGGTCAAAATGGAAGGTTATCACTCTGATCACTTACCAGATCAGAGAAATAGCTCTGATCTGGTAATAGATCAGAATCATCTTTCTACAGAGTTGCAGAAAAACCCTCCAGTTGTCTTTCTGTGCAGACAACTGCTGACATTTCCCATATTGAGCAAGTAACAGTGTTTCCACATCAGTCCTGGAACTCACTAGAACGCTGAAGGTTTGCTTTAGTATTACTTGGCCAACCAAGTAATACTTAGATAATGACCACTGCAACCAAGTAACACCTTCACAACATCTGCAATAGATGTCCTGATCTGTCTTCCTGGCATCAATACTTGGCCCTGTTCAACGCTTATATTTTCTTTTTTTATGCTTCAAAAAATAACACTGAGAACAAAATGTTGACCTGCTGCCTAAGAGTAACTGCAAAGAGTAACTCATTGTCACCGGTTATATTGTTATGCAACTTCTTACCAGCAGTTTTATTATTCTTCAGACCAAACGTGACTTTCTTTGACTCTGATGTGGAGGTCAGACGCCTCTGTGGAATCAAAGCACAGTTAGTATCTGTTCATCCCATGCATGTGACTGAACGACTGTCATTATAAACTCAATGTTTTCACATGTTCTCAGAAACTACACAGAAGCAGAAATTCGGTTCATCTTTTAAAACTTCAAATTATTTCTCTCTTACTTCAGGGATGAACAAAATGTTTATGATCATATTTTATCACAACAATTAAAGCATCACCAACACTGCTCTGAAAACTCATTTATATTGTATGGCGCTTTGATATTCATATGTTGCTGCTCTCAATGAGCTAACAGTGAAAAAAATAGCAAAAATAACTATTCCAATTTTGAGTTTCAGTTAACATCTTCTTGTATATTTTATATTTATCAAAAAATAAATAAAACTCAGGAGGAAAAATCGTTACTGTAAAAGCAAGTGATGATAATAGCACATCCCTACTTCCGGGTATTACTTCTGGCGCCCACCACAAGTAGGAATATTTCACTGTGTAATTGATAGCTTTTTGCTCATCTGTATTCATCACAGATGCTGTATTTCTCTTTTCTGTTACTGTAAAATATTACGCAAAATAGTGTTCAATAAGATGTTATATACTGCAACTTGAATAAAATGCAACTACATAGAGTATTTTGAGAAGTCTGGATTGCTTCATGTATATTTTTTGTCATGGGGTCCAAGATTCCTGGAGGCAGACCTGTCCCTGAGACACTATACTAAGTAGGTAAACAGATAAAAAAAACACCCTCCACTGTAAAAAGTGATGCAGTCTCATTTGTCACTTAGCTTTTCTTTACCTTCTTACTGGTAGTAGGTGTACCCGGGCTGCTGTTAGTCTTACAGTACAGCGCTGGTGGAACTGAAAATTCTCTCTGAAAGATGATAAAATCAGACCCTGAAATTTTCTTCTTATTTCTCTTTTTGAGGCTCTCGGGAGTCAATCGCTCACTGGCTACCTGGAAAAGAAAATTAAATGACTCATGTTTTGTTTTTTTTAATGACAGACTTTAACAAATCTTCTGTAAAACATAGAGTTTGTTCCACCAGCAGAGGATGTTTCCGCTCTAGCAGATTTGCTCTGGTCCAAATCAGTCAGTTTGCTAACCTGTAATGATTTCTGTTGATTCTGTTTCTTAGGGTTAGGGATACAGGCCAGTCTGTTTACTTGTCATGTGTCTATGAGATGATACGAGATTAATAACATATAATCACAAAGAAGTTTAAAAAACAAGAAAAACCCCTCAACCGAACAGGTAGTAGGTGATACTAAGGCTGTAATCGTATTACTGTTTCTCTATAATGATACATGTAAAATCATCTGAACATAGCGCTTCAAGCTTTTTCTTTGTTATTAGTTTCCTCTACCGGATCCCACAATGTAACACATACCTGACTAAGGTAAGCCGCTCAACATGGCTTACTGTACAGCTCAACACGCATGTTAGCTGTGTTGATCTGAGGTCACTATAAATAAACGGCAGCACAGCTGATCAGGAACTGAACCAAACATGTCCTCCACCTGGTGCAATTATTTACAACTACACAAAAGAAACCGCACCAAGGGCCAACCACAGTTCATTTTAAACTCTGGTTTAAAATTAACGGACAGTACTGAACACAGGGAAGACCAAGGAGGTCATTGTGGACTACAGAAGGTCCAGGAGGACGGGTCACACTCCCCTTCTCATAGATGGAGAAGAGGTGGAGCGTGTGGACAGCATCAAGTTCCTGGGCCTCCACATCACGTCTGACCTCTCCTGGAATACAAACACCTCCCACCTGGTGAAGAAAGCACAACAAAGGCTCTTCTTCCTCAGGAAACTGAGACGTGCTGGACTTTCTTCACGGCTGCTCGTGAACTTTTACAGGGCAACGATCGAGAGCATCCTCTGCCTCAACGTGACTGTGTGGTATGGTGGCTGCACAGCACTGGAGAGGAAACAACTGACACGGGTGGTGAGAACAGTACAAGGCATTGTGGGATGCCCCCTCCCGGACCTGCACTCTATTTACATGGGCCGGGTCAAGAAGAGAGCTGGATCCATAGCCATGGATTCCAGCCACCCGGGCCACAGACTGTTTGTGCCGCTGCCATCAGGCAAGCGGTTCAGGAATATACGGACTACAACAAACAGACTGAGAAACAGTTTCTTCCCCACAGCCGTCAGAGCCATTACTCCCTGCTGCCCCCTCCCACACATATCATAACCTCACATACACCCCCCACCAACCCACACACAGACATATTGTTCTGCACTTTGCACTGTCACATCATCTGCACTTTACCATAATTGGACCTGCTGCTTCTTCTTTGGTGTGGTTGAGTGCCTTTAGTTAATTTTAGTTGTATATATTATTATTATTATTATTATTATTATTATTATTGTGTGTTTGTTTATTTAATATTGTATATTTTGACTTTTTGCACGGGAGTTGCAATAGAAATTTCGTTGAATCCTGTTCAATGACAATAAATGCTATTCTATTCTATTCTATTCAGGTGTGAAACACACTTACTATTCTCTGAAAATAGAAAATTATTGCTTTTAACAATGGCTGACTCTAACTGGTTCATCAATGGTATCAATAATGGAAGACTTTAACTACATCAATCCTAACTCCACTCAATAACATTTTACCTATTTGTTTTATCTGGAGTTATATGAGACAATCTTCCGTTCCAGTAAAATGGTTGTTTCACAAAAACAGCCAGCTCAAAATCCCTGGAAAACCTCCAGTAACTGAATCAATTGGAACAGCTAGCAGACAGCTACCTAGTATCTGCTAGCCATCTTCTAGCTGTCCCAACAATTTTTTAGCTAGTTGTCTGCAAGCTGAAAACAGTGGTTCCTCTTAGGGGTGCATAAATTATAGTTTTCTGGGCGATCGGCGATTACCAATCTTTTAAAATGCCTAGCCTGCTGATCCCGATTTTGGCCAATACCACTTTCTTCTTTGTCTGAAATGATGCTCAATGTAGCAAGAAAGTTGCTGAATTGACAGCAGTGGGGCGACTATTGTTTACTGTAAACATGTAGACATGATGTCTACATGTTTACAATTAGACATTATGTCTAATTGTAAGACATGATGTCTTATAATTATTGTTACCGATATGTTAATTCTAACCTTTCGGAACATTAGGCTCCTACCCCTCCGACCCAAATCTGGAAAAGCAGAAGATGGATGGATAGACAAACATGTTTACAAAAAATACTTAGAAATACTCATTTAAATATTTATATTTATTAAATATTTTGAATGTATCCAATGAGAGTAAAGTGGAACCAAAGTCAATTTCCTTCTTTGTGTCCACAAATTCAAATTGATAAATACTTAATTGATCCCCAACAGAAATGAAATGCTGTTGGACCTCAACTTATACAAGATCAGCAAAACTTCTGCGACTGAGGACACTATTGTTGTATCAGATGCTGAGCAACATAAGAACAAACAAAAAGACTGACTAGAAATTTGATTGAATAGTTGACCTGTCAGGATGAACAAGAATAGAAAATCTGCTTCTGTATTCTGGTGAGTTATAAATGTCTACTTTTCTTCTCCCTCCTGGGTATAAATCAGCACATCATTGTCCCCTAGGAGGATGGAGTTAAATTTCCAAGGGATGCACCCCAGATTAGCTGACCTGATGACCTGGCCCTTTATTGTGAGCAGAGAGGTTCTGAGTAAGCAAAAACTGATTCTGATCTTATCAAGAATCCTTTTATGATTTCATATACTCACGTTGTTCACTTTGCTTTTCTTGGTCTTGTTCTTGTTCTTTGCTGCCAATATGCTGTTGACTGCTGCAGTTCCTTCCAACTCATCTGCCTCAAACTCAAATTCCACAGTGATCTTCCTCTTCCTGGTCTTCGCTGCAGAGCTGATCAGCTCAGCTTCCCCTGCTGACAGCTCTGGGTCTGCACCGCCGTCATCAGCTAACAGTTTCACGCATTTCATGCTTTTCTGCATGCATTGCATGTTTCCAGCTGTGATCTGAGGGCTGCCAGACCCCTTCCCTTCTTTGTGACGGTTCTTCCTGTTTGCTGCTGGTGGTGACTCAGCAATAGTGTCTTCCATCTTCTGACTCTTCTTCTTGGCTGAAGTAGCAGCATCTGTCGTCTTGAGTTTAGGTGTTAGATCGTCTCCTAATGCTTCATCACAGCCTGGTTGTTTGGCCTCTGTTGCTATGGTATCGTCATTCCTTTGCATGTCCCAGGCAGGTTGCTTGTTGCTCCTGCCAAGAGCTCCAGCAGTAATCTTGGCCGAGGCTTCATGAACTTCCCCTGCTGAAACGGACCTCTCCTTTTCAGCCTCTGTTTTCAGGATCTTCCTTTTCTCCTTGTTACCAGAGAGCACAGATGGTAATTCAAAGGACATGTCTGATGTAGCAGAGGTCAGCTGCTGCTCTCTGTCTGTCACCATGGATTCAGAGTCATTGGTGAGGGGGAGCGGCTGCAGCTGGACTTCTAATGGAGGCTCTGCAGTGGAACATGAACTCTGTTTTACTGAATCTTCTGAACGTAATGCAGATCTTGAGTCGGCATTGTGATCGTGTGGTTTCTTCTTTTTCTTCTTTTTATTAACAGATGCATCTACAGGTTCTATGTTGCTACTTTGCCTGTCAAGTGTTTTCTGTTTTTTTCCTGAAGAAGCAGAAACAGAATGGTTTTATGGCCTGAAGGTCCTGAAGTGAAGAACACTGCAATCTAAATAACATCACAATTAAAACTTGGGCTACTTGTTTCTTCATTTACCAACTCAAGATTCCTAGACCTCATGGTACCAGTATGCTTCAAATCTGCTCCTAGCTGTTCCATCATAAAAACCTCCTGATTAGGCTAGGGCGTTTTCCACTGGTAAATTGCTCTCTAACCAGTTAATGTGCAGTTCAACTCTACCCCGGGTAGAAGTGGGTGTGTGTGAGTGGTCCTCCCTAATGTGGGCAAAATGTGAGCAGCAGCTGTGATAAACTCTCTGCTAATCTTTGCAGTAACACTCAGCAAACACCCAGGTTGTGGTTCTGATTCAAATAAATCCAGATACTTAATTTTGTCTTATAGAAATTCAATGCTGGTCCAAACATAAGACCCAAGTCAGCTGTTTATTTCACTATACCAGGGGTCGGAAATCCAAAATGTTGAAAGAGCCATATTAGACAAAAAAAAAAAAAAAAAAAAAAAAAAAACTAATCTGTCTGGAGCTGCAAAAAATTAAAAACCTCGTATAAAACTTATAATGAAGGCAACTCGGGCTCTTTTAGAGTTTATATTAGCTATTTTAGACTATTATCAAAATGACGAAGTGCATACATTCATGAGCATTCATGACAAAATGTTTATTTTCCCTGCTGTGCATCCTGGAAGAAATTACTGTTGTATGATAATGCTTTAAGTTTACCTCCTGTTAAAATATGAATGTATTGTTTTGTTGCTTTGATGAAATTAAATAAATCCAATAAAGATTTTTTTGTCATTTGTATTATGAAGATTCAACAGGGAATCGCTCTTTGTAAATAATCACATTAAGTGTGTGATAGAAAAAAAAACAACAAAATGGAACATGCTTAACGTGCCCCTTATGTGGGCAACAAATGAAGTGCAAAAACGCAACCTGCAGTTATAAAATTAAACAGCAGCCTTTTGAAAAGGTGAAGTATATAAAATTTAATTAATACTGTTTAAATTTGATTTCTGTGCAAATGACATGCAAGTCAGAGCAGCATCCACTTCTCTTTTGACACACAACCAATGCAGCCATCCTCGGACCTGAGGATGTTAATAATAATGTTACAATAATATCGCCAAGTGTCGTATACTGACAAAAATCACAAGCCAATTTATAAAATCAACCACTTTGTTACTAAATATATATGCCTAAGACAGGATTGTGTTCTGACGTGTTTAATGTGACTTCTGTTTACGGACATCACTGGACAGCTTTTCAACATCGGGCATGTAAGATGTAACATTAATATTGACGCAGCAGATAATGTCGCGCCTTCCCTGGAAATGTCTTTCCACATAACTGTATTTTTTGGACAGTAAACAGCTGCTTTTCCCTCGCACTTTGAACTTTGCGGCTTATAGCCCGGTGCAGCTTAAATGTTTCCAGTTTTTTTTATTTGCAGGTGCAGCTTATAGTAAGGTGTGCTCTGAAGCCTGGAAATTATGTATTTTTGTTATTTGACAACTTCGCCTGCAGAGCGTAAACATTCAGGTAATCTTTCTGCATTGGCAATGAATGCAAATTATGCGGTCCAAAAATTGTAGAATCTCTCCTCTGCTATTTTCCACCTCACACCCGTCAGTTTGTTTACAACAGCCACCTACCCCTCCCAGCTGAAAGAAACGTGTCACAGGCAAATCTCTGTTGAAATGTTTACTTACTCTACACATTTTTATAGCATTGAAAAACATTAAGAATATTTGTGGCATGTTTGTCCTCCTATAGCACAGGTGTCAAACTCTGGCCCGTGGGCCACATTTGTCAGTTGTAATTATATTTGGCCTGCGAGGCAATTTCAAATTAATATTAGAGATTTATCAAACTGTGTGAAGAATTATGTCAGTTTCTGGAAAGCAAAGGGAAGGACATAGCAGAGCTCCGGGAGCAAACATTTCTGTGTTACCGTGCCTTTCTGTGTGACATCTCGAGCCACCTCAATTCGCTGAACTTGCAGCTGCAAGGGCGGGGACGCATCATCAGTGAGAGCCAAAACTTGTTTGGGTCTATGGACCCTTGGATCGTTGGACCTTTTGGGTCCAAAAGATTAATTTGTTCAACCTTGGCCCGTGGCTTTGTTCAATTTAAAATTTTGGCCCACTGAGTATTTGAGTTTCCTTTCCTACAGGAACCATATTAAACCAAAACACATATTTCCCACCCCCATTTTTTTTCCATTTTCAAACATTTTTCAAAAAGCTCCAGGGAGCCACGAGGGCAGTGCTAAAGAGCCACAGGTTGCCAACCCCCGCACTATACATATAAATATAATTACATTCTGGCGATTTGTTTTAAGTATGCAACCCTTTGGATTGAGGTGCAGTCAAAACAATATCCACACCTGAAATTACTAAAAAATAAAAGGAAAACTTAAATTCACATCACAAGTTAATTTTAGTAAGAGTAGTTTGGTGTTTACACTGTTGGCTAAACTGCAGCTCAGACAGAAAGCTGACCACAGCTGAACTGTTTCTCTCTTTATAGCTCTCTGTTCTTCAGAGAGATGAGCCTAGAGCAGCGCTGCTAATAATGGTCATTCTTCTCCAAAACTTAAAGTGTTCCTGTGCTGCTCCTGATTAAACTCATAATTACTCCTCTGTACCAAGCAGCTCTCTGATAAAAGACAGCAGCTGTCTGCTATCAGATGCCCTCTGATACAGGTCAGATGTGACATTAAAGGTCACATGCGGTCAGCTGTCAATCAAATCACATCAAATCACTGAAGGATACTTCAGTATACTTCTCAGTTTTCTGGTACTGTCCTTGACATAGGCACGGAAATCTGAGTAAGTTACAATGGGTTACCATAGAAACGTCTAGCTGCCCCAGTAATCAGGAATCTCTGAAATAGGTATGCTTAAAGAGAATGCATAAACATAATGTAACATATTGTGTACATTATTTTGTACACAAACTAATATGTACAAACTAAATCTCAAACTTGGTTGAGATTTAAAGGATATGCTACATTTCATGATATTTAAAGTAATTTTGGCTTTGAATGAGTATCTCCAATGATTTGGATTTACATCAGGAACCAAAACATCAAGACATCATTATGTGAGAGACATCGTAAACAGAGAAACTAACCCGTGTCAGCTTTGCTCTTCTTCCCTGCTGGTATCCCTTTCTCTTTAACATCCTCATTGCGAGCTGGTCGCTTCATCCTCTTCCTGCTCCCAAACATATCATCATCCTCATCTGTGGAAACCTCCTCTGGATACTCGTCCTGTGGAAATATGCCTGAGAGGGAAGTGAAATGTGAGATGGTGTTTGATGCAAACAGGATGTTTGCGTCAAACAATGCTCTGATTCGTACCTTCACTGAGATCACGCAGCCTGAATGGAAAAAAAAACAAATTTGATTCATCAAACATTAGCATTATTTGAACAAATACCTTTTAACAAGTTGACAAAACTTGAACACGGCCTGCTCTGGTTATACTCACACTTTGATGACTCTGTAGAGTTTGTGTCGGTTATGTCCAGGTGTGTTGCTGCGACTCGCCAGCTCAAACAACTTGTCTGCCAGAGCAGCATAGTTGAACTGAAACACACATTACAAACCATGCATCATAGCAACCACTAAGAAACCGAGATTAACAATAAGAGAAGGCGTTTGTTCACATCACTGAGGGCTGAGCCTGAATTATGGCCAGTTGAAGGGGACTTCAAGTTATTGTCAGTATCAAAAATGGAATAGGACTGGTGAACTGCAAGTACACTAAGAATGTATTACACATTATCCCTTCAGCAGTTATAAGACTCTAGAACCATCACTGCTCCCAACAAATTCAATAAGTGTTTACATTAAATTTGTTGGTCAAGATGGTCTAAGTGGACCATCTTGCACACTTCTATTGTCAAGGCGGCTCAATGGAGCTGTGGGCAAAGTTGTCAGTGCCTGTCATGGCAGCAACCTTCACACCTGCTGGTGGACACCTTTGGTGAGGGATGCCATCAGGCTGAAGGAGGAGTCCTATTGAGATTTTATGGTCTGTGGGACTCCAGAAACAACTGACAGGTACTGGCAATCCAAATGGCATGCAGCTTGCGTGGTTGCATTTTTTATATCCAAATGAGTAAATGAAAAAACCTAGACACAAAAAAACAATTTTCTTGAAATTGATATTTTGTAATTTTTTTCATATTACATTTAGGTTTTTTTTTATTTTTTTTTACTTCAATGGGCAAGATATTTCAAAGACATCCTCAATCCCACCAACATGCCTTCCATTGAGGAAGTAAAACCTTTGGGCCAAGTTCTCTAATCTCTGATGCTGAGATCACTGAGGTGGTGAAAGAGCTCCTTGGTGGCAAAGCGCCAGGGTGGATGAGATTCACCTGGAATTGCTTAAGGCTCTGGATGTTGTAGGGTTGTGTTGGTTGATGCAACTCTGCAATATTGCATGGACATCGGGGGCAGTTCCCATTGATTGGCAGACCTGGGTGGTGGTTTCCACATTTATAAAGGGGAACCGGAGGGTGTGCTGCAACTACAGAGGGTCACACCCTTAAGCCTCCCTGGTAAGGTCTATTCAAGAGTCCTGGAGAGGAGGTTCTGTTGGATAGTTGAACCTCAAATTCAGGAAAAGCAGTGTGGTTTTTGTCCTGGATGTGGAACACCGGTCCAGGTCTACACCCTCAGCAGGGCCCGAGAAGTTGCAGACCAGTCAGCCCAACAAGTCAGCATATGTTTTGTGGAGTTGAAAAAGGCGTTCAACTGTGTCCCTCAGGGAACCGTTTGATACACTGGACAACCAGTGTCAGAGTCTGATCCGCATTACCAGCAGTAAAGGTAGGTGGGAAGGAGCGTTATGTTTACATATCTTCAAGGAGATTGGAAATATGGAGCCCTTCCAAGGCAACACGGAAAAAGCCAATTCAGATCCAGAAAGTCTTAGGTCCCCAATTGTCCAAATTAGTTTGGTCGTTCCACTGAGCCAAAACTAGCAACTTCTCCAAGATCGATTCCATTTCGTTAGTGAGTTTTGGAGTCCTCAGCTGGGCTGAGAGTCTCAGCAAAATTCACATCCAACTTGCGTCTCTGTCCACACCAAAGTGGACAGATCAGCCAAATCTGTCACAAATTTGTCGATAAGCTAGTTATTTGCAAGTTCCAAACAGCAGAAATCCTGTTATCATGAATAAATCCAGGATGTATCCCGTTGGGTGAATCCCCGCAGGACAAGAGGTCGCTCCTGTGCCCAGTCTTCTCTTGATCAATTCCATTGAGAGAGTGGTTAACCAGATACATAATTTGTAGATTCGGTGGATGTACAATGAAAGGCTGCAAAAATACAGAAAATGACAGCACAAAAACAGAGCAGGCAGCCCAACCAGTCAGCATATGTTTTGTGGAGTTGAAAAAGGCGTCCGCTTTTTTCGCTTTTTCCAAGGAGGGACCAGAGGATAAAAGCGTCCGCCTTCACTGAGACCAAGAGAGGAAAACTTGTGTCAAGGAAAACAGGAAGTCGTGATCATTTCCAGTGAGAGTTTGACTTTGCAAAACTGCCCTTTGTCACTGACTCAGTTCATTACGTGTATGGGCAGAATTTGTAGGTGCACATGAGGAATCCTTTTTGGTGGCTTTATCATCTGCAAAAAGCAGTGCGCTGTACTGCAAAGCGCGCTGTACTGCTAAGTGTGCTGCAAAGTGCGCACTAATGTACTGAGAGAGCTGAGTTAAAAGAGAAAGCTCTCGAAACCCTCATGTATGGGTATGAGCTTTGGGTTATGATCGAAAAAAACTGATCACGGATAGACACGGCAGAAATGAGTTTTAGAGAGAAATGAACCAGTTGAGGTGGCTCGGGCATCTAGTTAGGATGCTTTCTGAATGCCTCCCTCGTGAGTTGGACCAAGTGGCTGGAGAAAGGGAAATCTGTGCCTCCCTAATTAGACTGCTATTCCTGCAACCCGACTCCGGATAAGCGGAAGACGGACGGATGGATGCATAGAATTTCATCTAATTTTATTTCAATTCAATTCATTTTTTTTTTTTACATGGCTGCAATTCACAACAAATGTAATCTGAAGTCACCTTCCAAAAACATTATTTCAATTCAATCAAATAACGTATTTTCCGCACCTAAACACCTTAAATTTTCTCAAAAGTCGACAGTGCGCCTTATAATCCGGTATCAAGAGGAAGACCTTGCCAAAAAAAAAATTTCCAGCCGACGTACTCATCAAAGTTAACTCGAAAGGATGAATGGATGAAGAAAAGATGAGTGAGTGGTTGAGAGAAATTTTTGTGAAGAGACCGGGTGGCTTTTTTCACATAGCTCCCTCCCTATTGATCTTCGACTCGATGCGCTCCCATATCACAGATGGTGTCAAAAAACAAGTGAAGCATACTAATTCAATACTTGCCGTCATTCCGGGTGGATTGACAAAAGAACTCCAGCCGCTAGATATTGGTGTCAATGGGGCATACAAATCTTGAATGCGAACTGTGTGGGAACAGTGGATGACAGAAGGCAAACACACGTTCACCAAGACGGGGAGACAGCGCCGGACGACATACACCACTATCTGCGTGGATCGTAAATGCCTGGGCTGATATATCTTTCTCAACTGTGGTCAGAACTTTCAGGAAGGTAGGAATTGTCACTGAACTGCCAGACTAAAGCAGTGACACTGACTTGATTAATGACGACTTTGACGAGACGGAGCCGGGCATGTTGGATGCCGTATTCACCCAGCTGTTTAATTCGGACACCGAAGAAGTAGAATTTGAGGGATTCGTGGATGAGGAATAAATTAATAGTGAGTTTTACATGTTTATTTTGTGTGTTTACAGCTGAACAAGGTTTGTCGTATTGTAAATATGAAAATTAATGTTTGAACAACATTGAGTTATTGATATATTTTTATTGCTTTGCACTATTGCGAGTGTTACAATATTGTGGTTGCACTAACGTTTAATTTTACAACAGTATCAGATTGTTTTTTACTTGTTTATTGAATTGAGAAAACGTTCCCCTCCACTATGTGATATAAATGTATTACAAAAATAGCACGTCACTGACTTTACCTTGGGGAAAATAATAAAACTGATGTCTATTCATTTTGGGAGTGAAAGGAGTTGTCAGAACGCTGGTTTGTAATCTATTAATAAAGTTTGACCTATCTGACTGTTTTGTTGATATTCCCTTTAGCGCAACTCTGTCTAATGAATGCATAACGTAACCCCAGCCTCTACTGTAGCGTTGATTCTATGCAACTTATAAAACGGTGCACCTTACATATGAGAAAAGTTTTAAAATAGGCCATTCATTGAAGGTGCGTCTTCAAAATATGGAAAATATGGTACATTCCAATTGATCCTAGTTGCCGAACAGTGTAGTATGATTAACTAATTATTCATAATAGATTAAAAGTAGCTATGGAAATTCAGCAGATCGCATCAAGTCATCGATTTATGACTTTTACTTATTTTGATCATTGTCTAATGTGACAGATATTATGTTTTATCACCCAGCCCTGTCAAGATAACTGGGTCTGCAAGTGTAATCTGCATGCCACTTAAGGAGCTTACTATTTCACCTTCAACAGTTAACACAAAAGGTTATTATATTCAGTCATTTTCATATTTCATATTTGAGTTTAATTTCTTTAACAAGTGTAGATTTTTGAGCACAAGTAAGATTTGTTTTTAGCTGCCTTCAGCCTGCCTGAATAGAAAACAGCTACAATAGTATCTCAGATTACATTGTAGAGTTTCGGATTTTTCAAGAAAAATGGACTTCTTATTTGTTCACGGAGGTGAATGGAAAACCTGTGTGCCTGCAGCAGGTTTCGGTGCTTAGGGAATACAACATTCGCCGCCACTATGAAAGACTTAGACTTAGACTTGTACTTTATTGATCCCTTGGGAAGACTCCCTCAGGAAATTAAAGTTACCAGCAGCTTACAGGCAAAAAAGTGGCACACAGTAAGCATACACAAAAGAATACAAAAAAGTACAAATTAAATACAAAGGTACACAGTAAATGTAATGAGAATAGAAATACAATACAAAGAATATAAATACAACACAAAGGAAAATATAGGAATTTGGTGGATAGATTGACCAGTGATATGGTATTGCACTATATGGTTTTGCCTGATAAATATGGAGTTCACATTTGTAGAAAACTACTCTTTCCCTCTGTCCTGTGTCACCTCCCACCCCCCAATGAGAAGTTGTACAGTCTGAAGGTGTGGGGGACAAAGGAGTTCTTAAATCTATTGGTCCGGCACTTGGGAAGCAGCAGTCTGTCACTGAACAGGCTCCTCTGGCTGCTGATGACGGCGTGTAGAGGGTGGCTGCTATCGTCCATGATGAAACTCAGCATGGTGAAAAATACAAGGACTTGCAAGGAGAACTGAGAAATCAGAAGATAAATGAAATGTTGACGGGTCTGAGGAAACCGCAATTTGTTTTCACCCGGAGTCGAGAGGCCAGTGATGCTGCGGTGAAAGCCAGCTATCTAATTGCTAGCCAAATAGCGTTAGCATCAAAGCCTTACTGTGAGGGAGAGTTCGTCAAGAACTGCATGC